TAAAGAAGTAATATTCAAGGTGTTTTTTGGAAACAAATTAGCTAAGGCTTGTTTAAGATGGTTTGTGGCTTAAGAGAGAACTAATGTGTGACACAGATATCAAGAGAAGCCACTGCCTGAACGTAGCCAGTGGGAAAGTTTAATATTTCAGGTTAAAACTACAGCACTATTGGTTAGAATTAAAGTATAGGCAAAGCCAAAACTCTTGGTTATAATAGAAATAATGGTTTAAACTCCTATCAGATTTTTTTTTCTGTCTGTGATTTATTTTAGTTCCTGTCCCAGAAAAACAGCAGGAAGGTAGAGGACATGTCTCCAAAGTGAGGGGATATTTACCATCCATGACAACTCAAAAACTTGGATTTTCCATCACCTTCTGTTCTGAGGACCTAGGCTTTTCAGGGTGGGGGCACTTGTGTGACAGGCACATCGGCCAGGCAGGGAGTTTCTGTAACAATGAGCCTATGAATTTTTCAGGCTCAGCATTACTGAGCTGCACTAAGGATGGAGTGTCCAGTATTGATACTCTGACCTCAGTGCTGCCTTCTATTGTGCCTCCATGAGTGCCACCGGAGGCGCTCATATGGCCTTGTGAGTGGCATGCCCTATTGGGGTTACACAGACAGAGGGTGAATCTCTCCATTGAGGACACAGACCACAATAGGAACTTGACAGGGTTTCTCATCTCTCACCACTGTATCCATAACCTCAAAAAGATTTGATTTTACATACACTTTAATCACTTCACGTCCAGACACTTTCACCCCCTTCCAGTTCAGGCCAATTTTCAGCTTTCAGTCATGCAACACTGTACCCATATTAAATTTGTATCCTTTGTTTTAAGATAGATAGAGCTTTCTTTTGGTGGTATTTGATCACAACTATTTTTTTTTTTTTGCTATATAAATGAAAAAATACCAAAAATTGTGAAAAAAAAATACTTTTTTGCTTAGTTTTTGTTATAAGATTTTGAAAATAAATAATTTTTCTTCATGAATTTAGGCCAAAATGTATTTACTACATTTTGGGAGTAAAAATAACCCAAAACAGTTTATATTATTTAGTTTGTGTGAAAGCTATAGAGTTTACAAACTATGGGATATATATTTCAAAATTGATTAACTGAGATCCTAAAATGCTGGACTTGTCAATGTATTTTTTTACATACAGTACTATCTGTAATTTTTTGGACTGTATGAGAGAGATCTGTTTTCAACAGTCTTTTGTATGTTAATTGTAATTAAAATAGTTGAAATGGCATCAGGGCCGGATCTGGCCCATCTAATTTGGGGGTGCATAAAAAAAGTCAGGTGGCATAATGTCATAGAGATGCATGGAACTGGTATTCCCTATTCACTTGGCATGCTTCTGTACTACATGAATCCTCAAATGTCCCCATTAGAGAGCCCCCTTACATCAACTGTCCCCATCAGAGAGCCCCATACATAAATTTTCCCCATCAAGTCTCAATTGGATGCATTCTCAATGATCTGGGGGGGGCAACTAAAATCTGGGGGCATAGCCCACCCCGACACCCCCTTAGATCCAGGCCTGAATGGCATTATAATAATTTATTCAAATTTAAGTACATTTTTAGATTGAATATCTGTACAGCCCACAGAGTGGTTACATATATTATGGGATGGGGATTTTAGTGCCAGGGAAAACAATTGCAAAAAACAGCAACACAAAAGGTCTTATATAGCCAAAGGTCTCAATATAAACAATACTTTTATCAATCATAGCTCCCTTAAACTGTGCATCTCTGATAGTAGCTTATGACATGAAATGGATTAGCCAGGCATCGCACAACAAAACATCTTTCACTTTATCCTAGGACAAAAACAAGTGACTGCATTACTGGTGGTTAACCACATTTTTCCTTTAGCCACTGAGTGGGAGAAAAACGCTATGCAAGCTGTTCTGAGACGGAACTAAAAGTTAAGCCATGTAGTCACCCGTTACATTTTTCTGTCACCAGCAGAAACATCAGCTATTTCTCTGATGACAGCCCTTGACATAGTTCCTCTATTCTAAGAGACAACGAATACATATATTGCATACAAATATGTTCAGCAGATAAAAATTATGTAAATTCTTAATACGATCAAAGCTTTTAAGGTAAAGGAATGAAATCGATTGCCCAGCTTTGCCAAAAATCAACATTTCTGCTAAAATACACTGAGCTATGACATGGAGTAGTTAGTTCTCATGGTAGGTGCATTATTTTAGTGAGTCCGCGACAGACAGTGGTAGCCCACTTTTATTTAAAAGAAAGCAAAAGTTAACAAACGAATGGCTTACCATGTAGGGGATCTTTTCTAACTTCAGCAGAAATCCACACACTGGAAAATGCCAAGCCACCTCAGCTTCAATGGCAGTACCGCTCTGCTCATCTAACCAGTCTCTCAGACTGTGTTGTCCAGCTCTTCTGGATAATGGGCACGCTAGCCTTTAGTGACAGCATCCTGCTGCACGGCCCACCTCTGGCCTATGGTTGGGGGTTCTCCTGACATCCTGATAGGAGCAGTCCTGACCTCTGTCTCCTGGCTTCTGGCTGGTTCCTCTGGCCCCTTAAAGAGACCTTCTGTCTCCCCTAATGGGAGTGGTCTCCAAATTGGGAGTTCTGAGCTATTCTCAGACCTCAGTATACTGTATATAACAACACTTCACACCTGTGTACTCCAGATTGCAGGTGTCTAGCAAAATCCAGACTCAGGATTGAATGTTCTGAACCAGAGCTGCAGAATCCAGAGAAAGCCAAATCCACAGCTTTCTCTGCCCAGAAATACTAGTCTGCAACATTGCTTTCACCCTAAGTGATATGATGAGACACTGTAAGTAGATAGGTAAATGTGACACAGGATTCTCATCCAGTGTCACATTTCCCTATCTTCTCACAGTGACAGAGTCTTGTGCTGTCACAGAAGATAAAAAGAGTAGGATTCTACTTCGTAAGCTTGCTAAACCCAAATGCTGTAATTTTAAAGCCCCCCAACAAAAAATTGTCTTGTAAGGCAGCCAAATGGCAAAATGCCTTTTATTGGCAAAGTATACCATGAGAAACATGTCAACATGCAAAATTGTTTAAAAATTGTTTGTGAGCTACTGTGCTAAAAAAAATCCCACCTATTCACAATTTCTTTTTGTAAAAAAAAAATCCTAAATCCTCTCTAACTTTGTGTACAAATAAAAAGTGCGCTAATTATTCACAAAACATGCAAGGATAAATAATAAAAATAAATGAATTCATAAAGATAAACATAAGTCCAGCCACCCTAACAGTGATAGTCCAATATCAACTTAATGTCAATCTTGAAAACAAACACCCATGTGCAAATCGACACCAGATGAAATGAATACACTCACCAGAGCTATATGCTGATTATATTATAAACCAGCATGATAGCATTTTGCTCTGTGAGCGATGATCTGCAGGATATCCCAGTAGAGGAACAGCAACCAATAGTGATCCAATCAGCACATATGGAACAACTAGGCAGCACATATGGAACAGCTAAGCAGTAAATGATCTTCCAATAACATGGGCAAAGCTCGAGGAATAAGAAGAGATATGATGGTGCAGTACGTTTAAAACCAGTAAAATTTTATTAATAAAGTATTGCACTCACAAAGAAGGTGTCTAGCTGACACCAGCAATGACAGCCTCTAAAATGCCACATCCACAAGACAAAAGCCAAGGGACGAACCTCCTGCAATGCGATCAAACAGCCGACAGCTGGGAGGAACGTTCCAACGTCACATCCACTAGGCCAGGCCCAACGCGTTTCGTCACTTGACGTCTTCAAGGGGCGGAGTCAATCTGAATCTGCCATCATTTGACTTTCTGTCATGCCTCTCCTAGAAATGAAGACTGGTGATCCAGCACTGCCCTGGCCCACTGTTGACCACTAATTTGCCACCCCTCATCATGATGTTACCATTGGATTCCTCAGGAGACTTCAAGGACCCTAGCAACAGATTGGAAATGTCCACATCATGTCCAGAAGCAAGAAGACTCAGGCCCCAGCACAACATGTGGCTGCAGATTTGGGTCAGTAATTGGGGAATTTAGATGTTTATTGAGGAAAACAGGATAATGAGCTGTTTGAGATGGTGAAAAAATGTCAATGTCTGGAGGTAAAATAATGATGAGAAAATAAAGCTGGCCTGTGGGCTGAACAGAAAAACCCAACATATTCCTCCATAAATGATACATAGCACAGATGGACAAATCTTCTGCTGCAACTATTGTATTTTGACAGTGAGCCCCACCAAATGCCAAAAGAGCTGAAGAGTGGCTGCATCTTATTGGAAACAGGCGCTGTTTGACCGTTAAGGCTGCATCCCCCATTTAAGGGATGTCAGCAAGGAGGCATCCAACAGCGCCACCCACTAAGTGAATTTCATCCAGCTCCTCAGGAGCCAGCTGAAATTCGAACAGTTTATTCCCACCTTTTCATTAGTTCAATGTTCATTTACATCAAGAAATAATGCTTCCACAACTGAGCATTGATTATGGTTGTGTATTGAAACATTTTAGGAGAAAAATATAACAATTTATAATGTGTGGAGTTATTAATAATTATTAGTGAGCTAAGCTTAATGTTTTCAGTAATCTGAACTCCTACACTCTGCAAGCCCAAAGAGTCAGCAGTAAATGCATTGATACAGAAAATGGCCATGGCCCCAGTCTATAACTGGCTTTCACAGCAAGGAGCACATGGAGGGCAAACACATGTCAAACAACAAAAAAGAAAAATTCCCAGATCTAACTTGCCAGCCAGCCTGCAAACAAACCAAAATAAATAAATAAATAAAAGCATTGAGATGGCATACTCAAATTGCAGGAACCAATAGTCCGGTATGATAGTGAATTTATCAAGAACCTGTAGTTTTAACAAAATGAATGTGTTTTTATAACCCATTTATATATATTAATAATAAGAACCCATCCCAAAACTTAGCGCACATATGTATTTAAACCTTTTGATACTTACTGGACTTCCATAGACTTTCCATGTGTGCTTTATCATATAACCTAGAAGAACTCCATTCATAGCACTGAGTGGAGGCTGACTCCAGTTGACTTTTAATGAGTATGATCCATTTAATACAATGGTGATGTTCTCAGGAGCAATAGATGGGGCTGAAAAAGAATCAGGTTCATTACTTTTCTAATCGATGTTAGTTTTTTTTTTTAATTTATTTATTAGAGAGTTTTTATACATCCTTTCAAGTGCTTATATCACATGACATCATAGCATCAAACACATGGCAGATTGGGTAAAAAATGCCAGTTTTAGGATATCTCTGACCTAGGCATAAGCCAATAACGCCACTTAATTTTTTTTTTCTTCCATATGTTCATGCAAGAGGATATAATGTAAATATACTGTTGAGTGGAGTAGGATGTAGATCCTCAGATTATTTACAAACAGCTTTTACTAACTTTATTTTAATCTACACTCACTGGCCACTTTATAAGGTACACCTGTTCGATTGCTTGGTAACACATATTGCTAATCAGCCAATCACATGGCAGCAACTCAATGCATTTAGACATCTAGACATGATGAAGACGACTCGCTTAAGCTGAAAACGAACATCATAATGTGGAAGAAAGGGGATTTAAGTATCTTTGAATGTGGCATGGTTGTTGGTGCCAGAATACCATCTCTGAACGCACAACACGTTGAACCTTGAAGCAGATGAGCCACAGCAGCAGAAGATCACACCGGGTGCCACTCCTGTCAGCTATGAACAGGAAACAGTGGCTACAATTTGCACAGGCTCACTAAAAAAGGACAATAGAAGATTGGAAAAACATTGCCTGGTCTGATGAGTCTCGGTTTCCCTAGAGATGGTTGTACATGAAAATACCAGTAGGTCAGCAGTTTTTGAAATACTCAGACCAGCCCATCTGGCACCAACAACCATGCCATGTTCAAAGTCACTTAAATCCCCTTTCTTCCCTATTCTGATGCTCAATGTGAACTTCAGCAAGTCGTCTTCATCACGAGTTGCTGCCATGTGATTGGCTGATTGGCAATTTGTGTTACCAAGCAATTGAAGAGGTGTACCTTATAAAGTGGCTGGTGAGTGTAAATGTCAGGTTTGTTGCTGTTATACTTGTTACTTTTTAAGGTGTTCAGCAGCTTCATTCTTCTGTAATGCAGATGTATATTGCCCAGTCCAATACATTTTTAAGTGTCTAAAATATTTAGTTAAATCTGTGTATTCACACATATTGCCCTGTCCGACTGTTTCTAGATAAGCCTGTACAAACAACTTACTTCTGTCGAGCAGGGATGGCCACAAACTGATCAAAATTTGGATTGGTCCCTGTTGCTTTCGATCAGTATATTGCCAGCTTTCCAGAGTTTACAATTGCATTCCTAACTAGAAAAGCTACAATTTCTGGGGAAATTGTGTGAAGTGTTCTTGCCTCCACCAGTAGTCTACAACTGGAGTGGGCGGAGTAACTTAGGGTGGAGTGGCTTGTCACTCTGCTGCCTGCTCACACACCTGGGTTCCTATGGCAACTCACTCTACAGCAAGGACAGAGAAGAGCGGTTAAAAACAAACTGCTCCAACTTGCTCACTTCACTGGCGGTTGCCATCTTCAAACAATTGTAGTTTACAAATTATGCGTCCTACGCCAAAGAGCTTTATATTGTGAGAATCACAAGACCCAGACCTATCTTTCGATGCATAGTATGTCTCTGAAATATCAAAAATGAAGGCACAGTCACAGTTTAGAAATTGCCCTTCAAATTTGAGGTGGCTAGAGTGGAATTTCAATGAATGTCAATGGGAGGCGTGAGTTGCAAACAAATGGTCATATTGTGAAAATTATTAGGACTATGGCTTAGCCGTGGATATTTTTAGTGGCAGCAGGGATAGCTGAACGTTTTGATATAAGATTTGTGTAGGTGGGCTTGAAAATGAGGGAGTGATGGCAGTTTAGAAATCATGTCCTGATTTTTCAGCTCACACTCTAGCTTTTGTCAGCTCCCACTCTTGTTTTGAACATTTCGCCATTCATTCCTATGGGACCAATTTCACCACAAAAACGCCGATATTTCGTGAACCATTCGGCGAAACGTTCCACAAAGTAATAGCACACCAATTGGGAACAATCCGCACGTTTCGGTATATTACTGTCTGTGTAGTGTAAAAACTGTGGGAGGAGTTAGGGTGGTAAAATTGGCTATAATAATAAGAATATATATGTGAGATAACAGTAAGTGGTCTTGCCATGCAAGAACACTTAATTAAAAGCGCTAACAAAGTTTGCTCTCATGCATCATACCATGCATTATAAGGGATTTTTGTTTGTCTTACTTGGCTATAGGGTTCAATATATGGAGGTTTTCAGTTTATTTACTTATTTGTTCCTGTTGGTTGAACTCAATAGGCTAGTGTCATTTTTCAGCCTAACTATGTAACTATCTGAACTGCCTTTGACCTGCTTCAAGGTGCTTTTGCTATTGCCAATGAAAGCCCATTGACCCTAAAACTGGCCATGATTTTTTATGACTCTTACCTCCTTGTGCAGTTCTGGCAACAATCCATGGGCTTGACAATGACCAGCCTACTTCATTCCTGCAGGAAACGCTAATATTGTATTCTGTAAATGACTTCAGATGGCTGATCAGATGTGTGTAAGGTGGTACAGATGTGTTATATATCATAGAAGATGTACTGTTGCCTTGTAAAAGTTCAGTCACCTGTAATAATAAAGTAATATATGCAGAAACGTTAAAGCGAAAATGTATCATTTTAGTTTTGGATGGAGTGGAGACAGGTTGTAACATCTGCCAGGTTATTGCTGTCTCTTTCTATAAGAAGATATCCCCCAAATTTCCTTTTCCTTTGACAACTCTATCACCCAGACATAGAAATTCTCCAACAGACAGCTTATAAAAGACTCTCTTAGAGCCTGCCCCTCTGTCACCAGAATAGTAAGGCCGGGTACACACTAGAAGTCCCATTCTTGATCCAGGCAATCATAAACTTAATAATATAACAATGATACCTATTTTGGTAATTCCTGCCTGTTAAATATACATATATATATTGGAAAAAAGGGTGCTTCTTGGCCATAATCTCATGTATAGATATGATTGACAATGTGAGCAGATGACCAAGACACTTCACAAACTGAAGGTTTGTGCATTCTTTCTAAAAGTGCAAAAATTATGATTGTTCTGACAACTGGGAAACTTTGGGAAGTATGGATTTACACAGTTAAATCAATAAAAGTTTATATAAGATCTTGCTAAATAATACTACACCATTATTGTACTTTGTCTAATTAAATGAAGATCTTTGTTTTTGTTAATCATAGCTGAAAGCATTATAAAAAATGTAACGTATCTGCCACCATTACTGATATGTATAATAATGTGTCACTGGTCTTAGAAAGTCTCATCTAAAACGCAAATTCCACAAAAGAAACTACACCCTTTCCTGTCACCAGCAGTGAATGCAGGAAGCGACTTCTTTTATCCTTCTTCCTGAACTATGTTGGAACAAAAAAAAAAAAAAACTTTGTCTAAACCTTTCATTTTTACTTTCTAAAAAAAAAAAAAGCTAATTACACTGTTTTCAAAGCTACTTCACTAAGCCCTACATGTACACTCACATACTGTATAAAGGCAATTGGTATATATTGGTATATTGTAATATAGCATATATGATGGTATAAACACCATCATATATGCTATATACAATACGATATGAAAATGTCATCATTGGAATTGTTTAATTTAAAAGCATGTGGCCCCAAGGTACCAGGGAACTGAGTCACTTTATTTTCTGCTCCCTCTCAAAATCATCAACAAGCCAGCTTTCCCGTTATACATAATAGGTTAGAAAATTCAATTCTGACTAATAGGAAGCTGTGAAACATAACGTATCAGTAAAGCCTAGCACCTGCTCTGCAGAATAGATCATCTTTCTGATTAGCTGCATTGAACATAACATTTCTTAAAAGGGGTTCTTCCTTACAATAAAAGCAGCAGGGGTGTTTTTGACCCAAAGAAGTTTTTTTTTGTCATCAACAGACATTGCAATCTCAGAATATATCTGCCCCAGCCCCTGAAAATGAATATGTTATTTTGTCTCATCAATTGAGATGTACCAGCACATTGAAAGCAATATTATTTTGAGAACAGATTTTTAGTCCTCTAAATGATGTTTTTGGTTTGGTACTTTATCACATTGTAATTGAGGAATTGGACTTTTATTAATGAATTGCACAATTTAGATATTCAAAGTGGAACTTTAGGTAAAAAAAAGAAAAATGGTGGACAGGCAGGAATTTTAATGCCGAAGAAACATGCTTTGTCTCTTCTGCATTAAAGATACTTACCTGTTTGTTCACCCCTGTATAGTGAGCCGCTCTTGGGCAACTCAATGTACAAATTCAGTAGTGCCGAATCTGACTAAACTCCCACATATGTGCGGGAATGACGTCATCCCTGCTCGGCCAATGACAGTGGTTGGTGATCGAGATCCGGAAGCCGACCGTTCGAAGATGTCAGTGGCCAGGCGAGGAGCAGTGGGATGCCGCATTGCTGAAGCAGAGTTGAATATAGTTCCACCTTAATAGATAAATGGCACAAAATATTGATTAATTGCACATTTTTAAAATGTATTTAATGGTTTATTTTGGAATAGTTTAATATTTTGATAATATTGTATTGCTACAGGAATTTTATTTATTTATACTGGAGGGTTTTGTATATTGACCTTGTTGCTAGCTGCCTTTCTCCTTTCCACCCAGCGCTGACTCTGACCCGGTTCACGCTGAAGCAGTGTGAAGTCCATCCATTTTTGACTGTATGTTTGGTGCGAGTTCACATTGCAATTTCTGTGTGTCAGATACAGTTCTGAATAGATTTGTTCAGCATTTCAGGTTCAATTCAGATGCGATTCTGATAAGCCTCCCATTGACTTCAATGCAAATCACCTCCCATTGACTTCAATGCATAATCGCCTCCTATTGACTTCAAACAGCTGGATTTGCACCCGAACCGGATATCGTATGTACTCTCCAGCGCCTCAGGAAATGCACAGCCAAAAGCCAAAAAGCATTGTTTTCAATGAAGTAGGTTCATATGCATGCGGTGCATTCATGTATATATAATTTTTTATTAGCTTGCTCTTTCAGTGCATGTATATATCTATGTGTATGTGCATATATATATATATATATATATATATATATATATATATACATATATGTATATGCGTTTATATGTGTTTATAGAAATTACCAAATATTGCACTTTAAATAACCCCATCCATCTCCTCGCCGTATAACAAGTAGAGGAGGTGAAGCTGTACTCCCAAGGCATCTAGCCATGGTTATTTACCACTTGACCTTCATACAGGCTGGTCAGTAGCTCTGAGGAAAGGGATTTGTCCCCGAAACGCGTCAGCATTTGACCGCACTGACAGTTGGAACACCTTGCTTGCCGTTGTGGCCATCCTCATTATGTTTTTACTTTTCATACCTTTCCATAAACCTTGGATAATGCACTAGGTGTGTGTGCCACCTGTTTATTCTCTAGTAGCTTGATTTGCACAGATGTGAACACAGGATTGTGATTTCAATCTGGTCCCCATTAAAGTCTATGGAGATGCAATTTGCACTGCACTGGACCAAAGTCGCACAGAACCCTTTTTTTTACCAGATCAGAATTGCACCGCATGCATATGAACCTACTTCATTGAAAACAATGCTTTTTCAGGTGACATGCAAATCTATGCCTTTTGGATCAGATCAGATCCGTTAGAATTTGCATCAGTGTGAACTGGGCCTAATATTGTACATTACAATGTTCTGGGGTTTTATGTGCGGCTCCTTCACATGGGCAGCCAGAGGAGGGGGGCAATAAAAACAGTTGGCTGACACATGGTTTTGCTGCCACCTGGCCACTCATCCAAATGCTATCAGGGCTGTACACATACATAACTGCAAAGCTTTGCCAACAGAGTGGGGCAGGGTGGGCAACCCTATCATGTTATTATTACTCTCCATGTCCCCATTGGGGTGTCTCCCTTCTCTCTATTTCTCATGGTTACAATTGTTCTGGCACTGATAGTTGGGGGATAAAAAACAACATTTCTCTTCACTTTGAAAAGATTTCATCTTGCATCATTGTGTGCCTACTGTTTAGGTAAATCTCCCCAATGGGACAGAGATGGCCAAGAAAACCTGACAAGGGGGTTAAACATTCCCTATAATACCCAAAAATGTTTTGTAATTCATATATACTTCAAGTCTCATTGGTGGTGGAGTTGAAGATGGTGTCTTATAAAGGAGAATAAGGAAAAGTTATTGAGAAAATATTTCATTTTTTATAATCCACAATTAACAATTCTAATAAAATTGCATAGAAGCAATGGTTCTTTTATCTTCACATGAAGGCTTAATACATAAATATTTATTCATGGCTGGTTCTCATTGAGATGCTGTCTGATGAAGTAAAGGAAGAGGGATTTTTTTTATTAAAAATAAATACATTCCAAAATAAATTCTACTTGTTTTGTAATCATTTATCTCCTATGGTGTGTAGAACAGCCCTTTGTGCAGACAGAGGACTAGGCAGAGCTGGTGCGAGTGTGTCTGAGCGGTGGCAGCAGACCTGAACCTAATCCTCTAGGAATGGAATCCAGACATTGTGACACAAAGATTTCCTTCTTTGTCGGGACAATCTTCAAAAGTATTCATATAATGGGAGAAAGAGGCTTACAACTGCTTTGCAAATTCATTTTCAATTAACTATAAGGCATGTGTCATTGTTCAGTCTATGAATAACTGATTCTCTGAAAGTACATATAAAATATTTGCTAAGCATTACACTAAAATGCAAGGTCTGCAAACGTGATTGCCCCCATCCCTGATGACAAAACACTGCTTTGGGGAAATTTAAAAAAACTGCAAGAACAGAAGAAAATGTTTTAAAAATATTCACCTTACTGTTGGGTTCCAACTAGTTGCAGCTTCCTATTGTCCTGGTGTTCCTGACATCACAGGGTCTTACAGAGTGATCTTGGGAAAGCTGAAGATCCCAATTTCTCGCGAAAGGATACTACTGCACTGTACAGGAGTGTGCTCTCAAGGGATTTGGGATCCTCATCTTTCATTGGATCTGGCAAAATGAACCAATGACGCCACCTTGACTAGGCAAGGCTGCCAGAAACATGGGAGTAAGGTAAAGTATTTTTTTTTTTTTCCCAGAATATTTTTTTTCAATTATCATAATACAACATTTTGACCACACAGGGTTGAGGGCGGCCACATAAGTGGACCTTGCAAATCACTAGAATTTCACGTAAGATTTAAAATGTTAATATAATTTGAAACATTTTAAATCTGTTTCACTTTCCACCTTTTATTAAAATTATACCTGGGTATCCTGCAATGTAGGTCCTTGTTGAGGCACTTCTTGTTATTGGGAAAGGTGTGTGTGTGCATTTAAAACCTTTGAGATTGACATAACCTGGTCTTCCCAGATGATGATTGAGAACAATCCATGACACTGGCAGGTCTCAGCTTGGCAAAGGGGGCAGTGCATGCTATAAATTCTGCAGGGTGCCCAAACTTTTGCAGACGCCATTTTTTGGTTTTCTGTTTTTTTGAAAGTGTAAATGATGAAAATAAAATCTAACTTTTGTTGACATATTATAAGAATGTCTAATCTGTAATTTGATGCCTTTTGGAGATTTTTCCATCTTTCCTTGGCTTCTTTATGCACATTAATACAAATCTTTAGCTGGGGTGCCCAAACTTTCGATCCCCACTGTATATATATGTTTTGCCTTTCATTTCTATTTTAAACTGAACGGTTTGTTTTACAAGGTGAGGGTTTCCAATCACTTTAAAGGCCTACTCAAACCAGCCACAGCTGCTGTGGCACATTAAATGTACGCACTTTAATGTTTGTTGCATTGCGCATTAACATGTGTTGCATTAGGGCAAAACATTCATTTGAATAGGCTGCCTAACACACCACAACTGCAGCAGCATAGAACAGTAGTGTGTTGCACTGTGCAACAGTGCACAATATACAGTAGGTGTTCCGGAAAGGTGCATCAGAGTGCCATTCAGAATAAATGGCTCTGCAGCACACCAATGCGCAAGGCAGTAACACAAGCATACTCGTGTGAATGTGTCCTGAGTGTTGCCTACAGGGTATATGAATCAGAAGGTCATTTGGAAGACTAAGGAGGTTAATTGTACAGGTGCTTTGTATTAGTTATGGTGTTAATTTTCTCATATACATTAAACCGCTTACGCACCGCCCTATAACAGAAATACTGCTACAGGGCAGCACGGGTGTGCAAAATCATCAGCTGGCTCTAAGGAAGAGGCAAGTCCTTGAAACGCATTAGCCTGTTGGAGGTCCAGTGTTCCTATTTGAAGAAGCCATACTATGTGGACTGGACAGTGCTGTTCTTTATGATGAGCTTTTATACATTTGTCCTTTGTGAACATATTACCTATTATTTTCATCAATAAATGTTATTTAAAGTGGAGTGCCAGCTGAAAAAAAAAGTCAGCAGCTGCAAAAACTGTAGCTGCTGACTTTTAAAATACAGCCACTTACCTGTCCCTCGGTCCAGCGGTGTCCTCACCACTGCTGGTTTCATTGGTTTCTTCTCTCCCTGGCACCGGCATCTTTAGTGTGGGCACCCGGCTGTGACAGCTTGCGGCTTCACAGCCGGGTGCCCACTGTGCATGTGCGAGAAGCACTAAACTTTGTGAATGGCCCCGTAGTCTTCTGGGACCTGTCACCTGTCCCAGAAGACTACGGGGAAGGAGGGGGGACAACTTCCGCTTCCAATCGCCTAAGCGATCCCAGTGGAAGTGGGAGCGGGTACCTGTCAAATTCGGATACTCGCTGCCCCCTCGCTCCCCAAAGGGGCCAATCCTTAATGGGGAGCGGGGGACAAAGTATTAAAGCGGATCTTCCCTCTTTGGGTAGAACTCCACTTTAAGGTAATGCACTAAGCCGGTGCGCCCTCTGTTTTCTTTGCATACAGTATTTTGCCATCTGTGTCCACACTGGGGAGATATCTGCCTACTTCCTGTCCAGGATACTGGAATCAGGCAGAACAGAAAGTGAGGGGAAATCTCTCCAGCAGGAAGATAGCAGCAGTAAAAATCTGACAGATATTCCAACCTTCCCCACTCATTCCAAAGTTTACAAAAAAGGTTTGTTGGGGATAGGACATTAATAGAAAGTGAACAACAATAATTAAGTATTGTGAACTTTGCTATCCCATATCACCATGAACCTACATTACTCATCTATAAATACAGTGATAACAGGGAGAATCATATACAGGCTACCTGTCAGATCTAGTCTTTAATGCTATAAAGATTCATTAATATCTTACAAGTATTGCAACATGGAAACTCCTGACCTGATTTGATCAATACCAAAGAAGCTGCAAACTGAGATACTCACAGTCGTTTTTTAACACTTCGGCGTTGATCTTTAGAAAATCCAATAAGCTGTTTACTTTGAACATTTCCCCTTAGCTTAGTGAATGTGATGAAAATGCACTTTGCAAAGAATACCCAATCACATGCAAGGAAATTTAAAAAAAAAAATGCTTTGCTTGCATATAATTGGATGATGGAAGACAGCAGAACTTTGCATAATTCCCTTGCACAGCTGGAGCGTATCTTCTGTGAGGCAAACAAGGCATTCGCCTTGGGCAGCATTGTTCTGGGGGCAGCGCCCCCTCCCGGAAGAAGGGACTCAGGTGACTGAGGATGGGGACCAGGCGAGGCACTACATGGGATCCAAGAGAGGCTGCAGGCAGAGGCCGACTGTTGTTCTTGTGCATATCTGTACACCTGGCTGAGGGCAAGGATGAAACTGGCCTTTCCTGATCATGTCTCCAGCGATGGCTGTCTAGTTTAATTCAAGAGAGCTGTGAAGGTGAGTGGTGAAAAAATCTCTCTCTCCCCACCCCCCCCCCCCCCACCACTTGGGGGGGGGGGCACAATTTTTCAGTTGCCTAGGGCAGCACAAAATCTAAATACACCACTGTTGCGCAGTGAACAGCCTATTTGCCTTAGTAAGTCAACCCCCATAACTCTGAAATCATACAAAACACACACAGATAGCTATGCTTTCCTTAAAGCAAATCTAAAGTCAAAACCTTCTCTTTATTTCGAATGGAGAAAGGGTAAAATCCTTTGCAATGTTTCTTTTTTTTTTTTTTTTGCAGTATCCCACTGGGGAGTCCCAGAGACAACACAGGAAGTAAGAAGAAATCTCTCCATAGCAAGAAGAAATTCACACTAAGATTGTTGTCACCAAAACGAGTGTCCAGTGACAACCCAAACCGTTCGATTTTCTTTATCTTTCAGTGTTGGCATCTGTGGTCATAAAGCCTAATAGTGACAACGTATCTCCCCAGTGGGCACACAAGTATCAATACGAGGTGGTATCAAAATGTTTCGAGACAAGCTTTGTAAAACGCCAACAGATAGCAGCACAAGGCTGCACACACAGTCACAGGAACCACAGACCTTCATAAGTCGGTGTGCCATGAGAAATTTTCCTGTGTACATCAGGTGTTGTAGAACTGGTGCTATTCTGACCAAGTGCATTACCAAGTCTGCTATTTCATCATGGACAGCAAGATAGAACAAACGTGAAATTCTGCGTGAAACTGTGCAAATCTGCCACAGAGACGTTTGACCTGATTCGGGCATGTTTACGGCGATGCTGCAATCCGAATAGCAGGTGTTTTCGAGGTATTTTGTGTGGCACGCGCACTTCAGGAGAGGAAGAGCATCACTGGAAGATGACTAGATATCAGGAAGACCTTCAACGAGCTCAACCCCCTGAAAATGCCTTCTTCCAGCTCAAAGGTTGCCATTTTGACAAGATTGTGGAGATCCAGCGATTTGCTCAGTTTCACACAGAATTTCACATTTGCTCTTTGTTTTTACTTGCTGTCCATGATGAAATTGCAGACGTGGTAATGCATTTAGTCAGAATAGCACCAGTTGCACAGCTCCCGATGTACACAGGACGATGGCTTTTGGCACACTGACTTATGAAGGTTGGTGCTCTCTGTGACTGTGTGTGCAGCCTTGTGTTGCCATCTGTTGGCGTGGTACAAAACTAGTCTCTAAACTTTTTAATACTACCTCGTAAAAACAGAGGTTCTATTCCTCCCCTGTTCTATTAAAAAAATAACAAAGATGTGTTGGTACCATCTCAGCATAGCAGAGTAAGTTGTATGGAGCTCTAGAACTTTTTTTAATGATAATAGGTGCAGATTTTTTTTTTTGCACAATTATGTTTTTTTTTATATTGTAATCATGGCAGGAATTTATTCAGGCAGACTTGTAATGTTACTAAGAAAACCATAAAGTACATTTGGGTAATTCACTTTGATACCTGTATGTTGCAGAGACTTAGAGGAGAATACCCATCAAAACCAGGGACCCAGGAAACAAAGATGCCATTTGCTAATTGCTTAGTAGAATTGACTTGAACCGGAGGAGATGGAAAATCTAAAAAGACAGTAAAGAGAAAACACTGAATGTGTACAGCTAATGCAAAGTGGAACATAATCTACAACAATTTTATAAAAGGACAACAGGTTTTGTAGCTATAGAAAAAAGAAAAACTCACAAATTAAAGCTAGGAAACAATGATCCTGATTCATCAATGGTCCTGATGATTCAGAGTCAATGCCTATTTCTCTTCCACAACATCACATAAATGCCAAAATCTATTCATGAAATTGTTTTGGAAAATTAAGAGGAACCTAAACCTTCTGTGACCTCCTGATTTAATATTTGGTTGCACAACATTTTTCCATAACACAATTCAATGTTTTATTCAGCTGAAAATTACATTTCGGCTGCAGGTGCAGTCTGGTGGGCTAAGTCACATATTGTCCTCCAATACCCAGTGCCAGATTCACAGGAAAGCATCAGGGCAATGGATTCTCACACTTGTTTCACTGCTCCATTCTCCTCCCTGCTTCTTAACCACTTGACCTCCAGAGGATTTACCCCCCTTCCTGACCAGGCCTCTTTTTGCTACTCGGCGCTGCACTAATTCAACTGATAACTGCGCGGTCGTGCAATGCTGCACCCAAACGAAATTTACATCCTTTTTTTCACACAAATAGAGCTTTCTTTCGGTGGTATTTGATCACCTGTGCGCTTTTTTATTTTTCACGCTATAAACAAAAAAAGGCCAAAAATTTTGAAGAAAAACAATATTTTTTTACTTTCAGCTAGAAAAAAAATATATATAGTAAACTCAAAGTTGGTTATAAATTTAGGCCAAAATGTATTCTGCTACATGTTTTTGGTAAACAAAATCCCAATAAGTGTATATTGATTGCTTTGTGTGAAAGTTATAGCGTCTACAAACTATGGTATAGATACTGCAATTTACGCCATTTTTTTGCTATACAGCGGACAATTGCGTGGTCATGCAATACAGTACATAAATGAAATTTACATCCTTTTTTTACCACAAATTTAGCTTTCTTTCGGTGGTATTTGATCGCCTGTGTGGTTTTTATTTTTTACGCTATAAAAAAAAAAGGCTGACAATTTTGAGGAAAAAAAACAATATTTTGGACTTTTTGCTATAAAATATGTCCAGTAAAAAAAAATTTAAAAATCAAATTTAGTCATACATTTCTGCCAAAATGCATTCTGCGATATGTCTTTGCTAAAAAAAAAAACCCAATACGTGTAAATTAATTGGTTTACGTGAAAGTTATAGCGTTTACAAATGGCGGGAAAGATACTGGGATTTTTAGGGGTTTTTTTTTTTACTAATAATGGCGGCGTTCAGTGACTTATGGCGGCGACTGCGGGACTGGGGACTGTGGCGAACATTCTGACATTGGGGGGTACTGACTTGGGGTCACTGACATCCCCAGTGACACCAATACAGGGATCAGTGCAAAAAAAAACACACTGACACCGTACTAATGGCACTGGGGAGGAATGGGTTAAGTTTATTTTTCAGTGAAAGGGTTAACTGTGTGAGGGGAGTGTTTTACTAGGGGGCGGGGGTGTGTACTGGGAACACTGCTGATCGGGAGAGAGAAACTCTTCTGTCCTGATCAGCTTGTCCTGGAGCTGTCAGGGAACTGACAGAAAGCACAGCTACTGCAGCTGTGCTCTCTGTCAGCGATTGCCACCAATCGCCGGGACATAGCCGGTAACGACCGGCTGTGACCCGGGAACAGACATCCGCGGCTGTGATTGGCGGGACAGGTAGGGCGGCGGCGCGCCTCGCTCAGCCGTGCCGCCCTGCCGCCGTATTTATACAGTGGCTGGGCGGCATGTGGCTAAAGAGTATGTTACCCCAACATTTCATAATCCTGATATGTGTTTGTGTTAGGGTTCATGTACACTGCAGCTGATAAACTCACGTTCAGGAGCTTTTCTCGGTTTTTTTTTTCAGCAGCCCCTGAACTCTCCCTAATGTTTTCCTATGTGTCCATGTACACTATGTCGTTTACAGTCGTTTACAGGCAGTTGAGTTTACAGTCATTTTTTTGAACGCACCAAACTTGCATTCAGGAGTAGATTTTATCAGCGTTTCAAATTCTTGTAAACACGTGTAAACGCGGCTAACCGCATTTATAAGCGTTTGCGTTTAGAAGTGTTTTTTTAACTGTTCCATATCCAGATGCTGCCCAGAGCCTTTTTTTCATCATCAGAAATGCATGCAAAGCATTTTCCATGTATTCAAATGGACCCAGTACACCAGCGCAGTCAGTCCCAGGTTTTGCGTGAAGGAAAAAAATGGTAGAATGTGCTGCATTATGCTCATGATGGGATCCATAGTGAATACAACCAGGTCAAGACAGATCTCAACACATACTGCTCTCTCTGCTTCTGCTCTCTCTATTATTATTATACAGTGTTTATATAGCGCCAAAAAGTTTGCTCAGCGCTGTACAACATAGTGGGGGACAGTACATGAGACAATACAGTAACAAGACAATATACGAGAAGTTCGAGGGCCCTGCTCTTTCGAGCTTACAATCTAAAAAAATATTTCTCTTAAAATGTCTGAAATAGTTAATTTTTACTGTTTTTCAGTGCATTCTGGGCATTTTGGAAGGTCTCCTGATATTATCATTAAAAAACGCTTCTAAACGCAAACGCACATAAACGCAGTATGCAAACGCGGCCAAACAGACATTTTTTAACCTATGTTTTCCAGCAGTCAGTTTCCATCATTCAGAAGTGTTTTCCAAACGTCCCATGTACATGAGCCCTTAAAAAACATCCAGTTCTCTATGTATTGCTTCCTTTGTGTGAAGTTCCTGGTGATCCTGCCAGTCCCCCTAGTTTCCTATTTCAAACTGAAAACACTAAGCATGAGATCATATCCATATCAGTGTGGTTAGTTTTCTGGCTGTGCTGTGAGAACAACCTACCTGTCATCCAATGATCACATTAGTGCTGACATGCCCATCCATTCACTGAGAAGATCAGTGTACTGCTGTTTGTCCACCCCTACCTCTCTAAGCCTCATATTCAGTTGAGAACATTATGTGATCACTTATGTGATTACTTATAAAAAAAATAAAATAGGTATTTATAATGTTTTTATACATATATACACACAAACGTTTTGCCTTTAATTTCTATTTTAAACTGAATTGATTGTTTTCCAAAATATAGGTTTACATATACTATACCAATGTCACTGTGCAGATCTGTTAGGACAAGAGGGTATCAAATACAGTATAGGTCCATCTACTCCTGACCCCTGCTTGACATCATTAGCCTCAACCACTCCCACTGCCCATAAAGCCTCTGTGACCTACTGTGCTAGCGTGCCTCCTTGGACTCACAAACCACTTTTGGTAAAAAGTGTGGACCAGTTTCAGATTTCCATTCATCTACTTCGTTCCTTAAAGTACCCACCTGTTAAAGCTGCAATACCCTTTGGTCAGTGTCTGGAGCCACCTTTGCTTTTCTGTACTTGTATTTCCAGCAGTGATTTTTCCTTTCCATCTCTTTTTTCGAATTTTGGAGAAATTCTATTCTATTTTTATGGAGACAAGATGACAAAAACAGCTGACATGTTTCGGGGAACCCCTTCCTCAGAGCTATGGCCATTGCTCCAAGGAAGGGGAGCTGTTCCCCAAAACATGTCAGCTGTTTTGTCATCTTGTCTCCAGTTGGAAGTAGAGAGTGGACTTAGTTGTGTGCTTTATGCATCAATTGCCTTTAGCTCACTAGACTTGTGAGTATAGCAATTGTTTTTGTATCCTCTAATAAAGTGCTTCAGATAATGCGCTAGGTGTATGCGCCCTCTTTGTTTCTAATGTTTTGTGCAGTGTTGGATTTCCCCGACCTGAGGAAGGCTGCACCGCCACTTCTTGCCAGTCCGGGCTGCAATAATCATATGTGATAATCGGTTTGTGCAATGAGTGTCTCTGCCAGGTTCTGAGCACTGGAGTATCAAGTTTGATTCTGTTCCTTTGGCATTTAAGAGCGTTTAGACACATTTGGACACCTCAAGTGTTTTTTCTGCTCACAAGCTCCTCTCCTGAATGTCTCCAAATGCCTATATTTGCATTGACACGTTGGCTAACATAGAGGTGCCTTTAAAAGCCAAAATGCCTGTAAAAGAGGTGTTTTTTAATCACTTCCCGACAATGCTATAGCTAAAAGATGGCCACAGCATGGTTGGCTAGGAGGGCATCCATGGATGTACACCCAGAACGAGACCCCCCGCGCTCCCCATGGGGCGTGCGCTATCTGTGATTGCTGTGTTTTTTGGACACAGCTGATCACATGTCCAAGTAAAAGGCCAGTCAAAACTGCCTTTTACCATGTGACTAGCTGTGTCCAGTAACAGTTGACCACAGTGTACATAGGAAATGCCGTTTATCGGCAATCCTCTCCTCATACTGAGAGGAGAGATGGTAAGCGGCATTTCTCAGGGCGGCATTTACACTGATCATCAGGGCACTAATCATCTGTGCCCTGATGATCAATGTAGCCCCATCAGTGCAGCCAATAGTGCCCATCTGTGTTGGCTTTCAGTGCCCATCTATGTTGACTTTCAGTGCCCATCTGTGCTGGCTTTCAGTGCCCATCTGTGCTGGTTTCCGGTGCCCATCAGTGCAGCCTCATTAGCGCACACCAGTGAAGGAGAACAATCACTTATTTACAAAACTTTATAACATAAATTAAGAAAAACTTTTTTCCAAAATTTTTGGTCTATTTTTGTTTGTTTAGCAAAAAATAAAGTAAAAATACCCCAGTGGTGATTAAATACCGCCAAAAGAAAGCCCTCTTTGTCTCAAAAAAATGATAAAAAATTATTTTGGATACAGCATTGCATGACTGCGCAATTGACATTCAAAGTGCGACAGTTCTGAAAGCTGAAAATTGGTCTGGGCAGGAAGGGGGTAAAAGTGCCCAGTAGGTAAGTGGTTAAGCCCTGTGTGCATGAGGCCTAAAACTGAGCTAAGGATTTTGACATGTTTGTCTAAAAAACCTTTGCTCTCTTATTGCTGCATGAAAACCTCCGGGTTTATCACCTCTAGAAATCGACTATGCTTAGGTCAGGTCAACTTGTTTTCAGTGTGCGCACTTTTGATTTGCAGCTTGAATTCTATCAATGTTATATGATTTAATTTATGTCACTGCTGCATGAATTATATATAAACAATTGGCCTGTTTACCTTTTCACTGCACGTTTTACAAGAAAACATCCTATTAATACATTGCAGGCATCCAGGCCTGAAGGGTAAGCTAAGGGAAAAGGCTTGAAATCTAAACAAGACTTGAATTAATAAATCAGCTAAGTGCTTAAAAATTAGCCAACTGTACATAGACCACTAAACTGGCCAAGCGTTGGCTTTTATCAGGAACTTGTATTAAGTGACATGCAGATTCATGCCGAGGTGATGCAGACAAATAAAAACCTGTTACCTGATGAGTCCTATAAATATTATGTGACTCTTTTATGTCAATAAATGGCTGTATGTATCCTGCTGTGTAGTCTCTTACCGTGCCCAAAGAATCCAATATTTTTGCCGTACTTAGTGTCCACATTTTGTTCTGATGAGTGAGAACTTTATGATGGAACTTCAGAGAAGTATTAAAACACAGTTTATAAAAACACTGTCTGTGTTCAGGGGTAATGCACCTACACCCACACGGCTGTCAAATTGGGAGAAGCAGTTGTGTTCCAGCAGCCTATTGACATGAATGGGACTGCCTGCACAGAGATGCATGGAAAACCTGTGCATCCCCGTGGGAGCAAACACAGTTCTTGTGAAAGAGGACCTATGCACTTGTACAGCTTCACTTCATATTTACCCATTTTGTGCCCTTTTCCAGGGCTCTCAAAAATTTCTAAACAAAGGGTCAGTTTACTGTCCTTAAGACTTAAGAGTTGCCAGACTGTGGCCTTTGGGAGCAGAAAAAAAGCTTCTGATGTCAGTGGGAATAAACAACGCCCCATCTTTGGTGTCATTGGAAGGAATTGTACCCCATCATTGGTGTCATTGGGAGTAATTTTGCCCAATCATTGGTGTCACTGGGCCCCATCTTTGGTATCATTGGGAGGAATTGTGCCCCATCTTTGGTGCCATTTGGAGTAATTGTGCCCAATCATTGGTGTTGTTGGGAGGAATTCTGGCCCTTCATTGGTATCAGTGGATGAAAAATAATGCCTGGCATGCATAAGACTGTATAGGGCAGTGGTCTCCAAACTCCAGGCCAAGGGGCCAGATGCTGCCCTTTCCTTGCTTTACTTGACGGGATGAAAGCAAGGAAAGGGCCGCATCTGGCCCCTGGGCTGGAGTTTGGAGACCACTGCCCTATACAGTCTTATGCATGCCAGGCGCAAGTCTGTGCTACAGTACAGATCCAGTATAATAGTCACTGGTTGCTATAGATAGATTACATTCCTGAGCATAAAAGGAATGTCATATGAGATTTCCCACTGACAGCAAAACCACTAAGACCCAGTAAAGTGCATGTATATTCATTCTGTGAGAATGGGAAAAAAAAACAATTGTTATCAGACTAATTAAATGTTTAAAATGGAAAATACTGCAATTGGCCACTAACCATCTAGTGGCCAAATGATGTTGCTCAAGGTGGTCCATCTCCAGAAGCCCATCTGACTATAGATAGCTGATGCTAATAAGCTTTGATCTACATCATTAACACACTGCAGCATTAAAGAACAGTCATAAACTGCTCACCTTTAATGTTGATTTTCACATTATTGGAAGCAGTCAGTCCTTTCTTATTATGTGCTTCACAACTGTATATTACTGGTTCATCCAAACCTGTTACAAAATACAGAAACATCAAATTAAAATAACTCGTAACATGACTAAAGCAAACTAGAATTTTATATTAGGTGAACAAAATCAGCCAACTTAAAGAATATGTAAACCCAACATTTTACACTCCTGATATGTGCCTGATGTACCATTTACTTGTATGAAAAAGTACCCTGTTCTCCCTTATGCTCACCTATCCAAGGTGAGGGTTTACTATATATATACGGTATGTATATAATAGAATTAAAGCAGTATTAAACCCCAAAACAAACATGTATTATATTGCAGATTACCAATTCTTAGATGTGAAGGCTGCATTAGGTTTCTTTTTTAGGCTCTCTTTCCTTTTTTCCATTGCAAGGATTTTAACAAATGTTGTAGCAGAGTCATACCTGTTTTTGTTCTTAAACGAAAGCTATATGTTCTACTATGTCTTTGGAAGTCTTGTTTCTGAATGAGTGTCTGTGTTCAATCTTATCAGGTTATGCACTTGCAGACTTCTAATGAGGAAGTTGCAGTGTCTTTATCCTTTTAGAAGTCATTACCCTTAGGGAGTATCTCACCAAAAATATAATTGACATTGCAGAAGATGCCTAAAAATGTGACTTGTACCTTGATGTAGACTCCTGGGAAAATCAGTGAGTCAATTACACAAGCAGGAAATTACATTTCTGGGGGGCGTTCCGTACACCATTTGTGTAAAGAACGCCTCCGGGTTGCCATAGTGCATTACATTTTACAGAAAATTACAGTGGCTGCAGACTGAAAAAGAAAAGGTAATTTTTAATAACATTAAATTACAATCTGACTTGTGTCGCAGTTGTATATGCTATATTTTTTCATGATAGTGGAGTTACTTTTTAAGATACTTTGGTCTTCTGAAAATCAGTCAGAGACGTTACAAATTGAAAAAAATAATAATGCTACAAATACTGCTTTTTATATGTAATTAAAATCTATTTTTATATAAAATTGCTGCACACCAGAAATCAGGCTGAACGTGGAAGTGTCAATATTCCACACTCAAGTACAAGATCAATACTTAAAGTGTTACTAAACCCACAACAGTAAAATCAGTCTGTATATGCAGTAAAGCATGCTTGTTATATTCACTGTGGAACCTAAGGGGTTAATCCTCTGCATTGTGTAAAAATGCTGTTTGATCCTGACTTCTCTGATCCTCTCCTTCTTCCAGTGTCCCCCTCTTATCTCCTGATAAGACAGACTGAACAGCACAGGGCCAATCAGCACTGTCCAGACAGAGGTCAGGGGCTCTGCATCCTCTTAGAGCAGAAAGAAAACTCCTCCTACAAGCTTTAACCAGTGCTGTGCTGAACACTGATAGAAGTCACAAGACTGCTATATACTGCTGATGAGAAAAGGTATTCAGCAGTTTATATTTACTAAAATAATTGAATTTCTATGTTCTGTGTACTGTGGGAGACCAGACATAGTGAATGCAGGGTCCTGGGTTTAGTAACACTTTACATAGTAAGGCAGGTTGAAAAAAGTCAAAAGTCCATCTACTTCAACCAAAAGAAATAAAAAATAAATAGAATAAATAAATAAATACAAATAGAAAACCTCCATTTACATAACCCTATACCCACAGTTGATCCAGAGGAAGGCAAAAAAAAAAACATAATTACAATATATAAACTCATATAAAGCTGCTAGCACCACAGTGAATCAAAGATGGACTTGTGATTCCCAAGACTGGCTGATCAGACTTGCAAATATTTTTGCGAATAAAGGATTCACATATTTGCGCAGCAGTTTTGGGTTAGCAGTTTGGCTGGAGTTCTACTTTAATGCAGTGTCGTCTTCAAAACAAATTTATTCTTTAAGTGTTAAAGGACAAACCCAGGAGATGAAAACACAGCTAAAAACACAGGTATAAAATGTTTATAGCTGCTAACTGCTTCCCCTCAGCTAACAAAACAGATGCTCCCAATGCAAACAAGATTTCAGCTTTCATTGTACATATGGAAACTTTAGGCCTCATGCACACTGGACGTTATAAACACACCAGCAGCTTTAGCTGAAGCATGTCACGTTAAAAAAGGCGAGTTTTGTCGCGTTTTTTAGCATTTTTGCATTAGCGTTTTTAAGCGTTTTTTTAGTTTTATTTATCAAAACTGTATTCCCACAAAAGCTTGAGGCTCAAAAAGGCTCATAAATGCTGGATAGCCACATTTTGCAGTGGTTTTAGATATTAGAGCATTTTTAAGGCTGAAAACTCTTCATTGCAGTAGTTCTGGGGGGATTTCCCAGCCTGAAACGTCCCTGCCAAAAAAACGCTGATAAAAGCCTATGTGTGTCAAACATCCTCATAGTTAGCTGGGGGAGCTAGATAATTATTTTTCTTGTTGGAAGGCTGAGTAGAAGCCTGGGTGATAGTAAAAGGGTCAACTTTGGGTCAGGGCTGAAAGACTTTGCAGATCAGCTCTCTGATACCTCCCCCTGATCTAGAGGTATCCCTCTGATCTGGAGAAGTCTCTAGATTACAGTGGACGAGGGTGAGGAGGAGATGGTTGCACTCTTAAGGGATTCTGACCAATCCGCAGGCAGGATGCTTGGCATGGGGTCAGGACAGCCCTTAAGAGTTATTGAGCATGCTCAGAGGCAGGAGAGTTCAAGTAGAAGAAGATGAAGTGAGAAGGCTGGAGTGAGGAGCCTGGGAAGGGGCTCAGAAGAGGGGCCCACCTGCAGGCAGGAGCTGGAAGGGAGGATCTCTCATCCTCAACCGTCCCCTGAGAGAAGACAACCTGGGAAGCAGGGAAGGAGCCAGTCCTGTGTAATGCCTTACACCCAAAACAGCAGCTGTAAAAATGCACAGTGTGCGTGAGGCTTACCTTCATATTTCTATGACATTCTAACAAGCATTAGCAACTGACATTTTACTAAACTCATCAAAAATACTGACTATTTTTTATGTGTATTGAGAGGTAGTCACGAGGTTTAGTGACATAACGCATAGGTACGTCGTGACGCAGCTTTTGGTACGTGGCGATGCACATCTGGTGTTGGACGCCATCTTGGAACACCCAAACAAACCCCTAACCCATGCAGTACACCCAAGCATGAGGATGTAGGAGTGTTTTAACCAATTGAAAATGTGAGTGGGCATTTTTTGTATAATTAAAGGAGATTAATATTTAAAACTACTACACTATGGAGGATTTTTTTCTTTTTCACCATGGGCGTTGGTGAGAATCATATCTAGCAGACATATCCATCCTGAGAGGCCTGGAGTATTACCTATTATACCTGGGGGAGGAACTACAGGTGAAATACTACTAGCCAGGATTGGAGTAGGATCCAGGAGTGATCCTGAAAGCGAAGTGGCCCATTGGGTCGCCTAAAGGAGGTGAGGAGGCAATTTAGCCAGTGTGAATAAAGTGTGCTGACACTTTCAAGGATATCGTCACCCTTGGCACGTTGCATGGTTTTCAGTCTTTTGAAGCACTTATTTTTTTAATATTTATGGACTTTTTGAGATTATATGTGTGTATGTTTTATATGTGATTTGTTGTATGGTCACTTTGGCACCAATCACTGTTGTCATATCCCCTGTTTATAGGGGTTCATGTCGTAGCATTTTAAGTTGCTATAATATTTATAAGAGTGATTTCACAATTGTGCAGTCATATTTCACTGATTATAGGTCACTTATGTGACCACAGGTCACATTGGTTTGGGCACTTCATGCACGTTTATTGATATATTATTTATTTATTGGGGCACAGTATATTTTCAGCACTATTGATTATATATATTTTCTTGTTTGCGCTGCACTATTTTTGAGAATGGGAAATCTCACCAATACCGTCATGGACAGCAGCGAAAAAAAAACGAATAGAAATTTCCTATTTTAAATCAGAACTACAAAGTGTGTGAGGAATTACATTTGGAATTCCATTTTAATTAAAGCTATAGATATGAAGAAGCTGTAGAAGGTACATAATATGCTCCTAGCTGATGTTTCATACTGTAACTGCCTTGGACAGGATCTCAAACACAGTTAAATTTACCCAATACAAAAAAAATATATAAAATCAGCACAGGGGACATGGCATGCCTTCAGTGAGATGTGTCCCTTGTGCTTCTGTTTCTTGCCTTCACCAAAATCTTCCTCTTGCAATATCCCCTAGCCACCCCAGCGCCATAATCATCCAGTACAGTGAGGGTTATTAAAACTAAGGGGCTGTCACAGGCTCTTTTTAAGAGAACCCAACTATGCCCACCCTTTCCACCCAGCCCCTCCATTCACAGAAGCTGTTACTCTGAATGTTTTTATTATTTATTTATTACATGTACTTATATAGCGCAGTCAGTTTACGCAGCGCTTTACACATAACATAAACTATGAATGGTGGATGTGTGGCTGATTGAAAGGGCCAACCCCTCCTTTCATAGATCGTGTTTCAGTCATAGAAACTGTAGTGACTTCTATGAATGGAGGGACTCAGTGGAAAGAGTGAGCATAGTTGGGTCATTACAACTTCTATCAATGAAACACGATCTATGAAAGGAGGAGACCGACCTTTCAGTTATCAATCCTTCCTCCATTCATAGATCCTGTTATATTCAGAGTAACAGCTACTATGAATGGAGGAGCTGGGCGGAAAGGGTGGGCAAAGTCAGGCACTCTTAATGTGATCCTGTAACAGTCCCTTAGTTCTATTAACCCCCACTGCACCATTGCAGTGGCAGGAGAGGGGGGGGGGGGGTGGCATCAGGAGAGGAGAAATATTACTATTGAACTAGAAGACATTGTGCTGATTTATTTATTTTTTAGATAAATTTAGGCTTTGAAGTGCAAGCCTGGGATAAACTAATATTGTTAAACTTGAATCTCGGTGTGCTTTGTGTATTCGATCCAGATCTGTGCTATAATCCAGTGTGAAACTTTGTCTCTGCAGGAGCATCCTGTAATACAGACCGGTCATTGCTGCTCTCTCTCCATGTGCAGAGTGACTGGTCTTGTCTCCACCCACTCC